TGTTAAGGCTCGCTTACTGTTACTCTCAAGGCGAGTGCATTTTGCCTAGGCTCAAAGCAAGAAAATACTATTACGGTAAATGTAAATGTTAACGACCTCATTCACAAAAATCTTTAAAGTATGTATGTATATTATCACTACTTAAATGCAATATGCATTACATTTTTATTTTAATAATATTTTTTGAGTATAGTAATCAATAAAATGTTTGTGGGACTGTGAAGGATCTATTAATATGGTATTATTTAAATTCAAAATAATCAAGGACCATTTATTACATCAATTTTCGTTTCCTTTTTACAAAATCCTCAATGTTTTCGGATAAAATATAGCCTATATCGCACCTTGTATTGCTTTTTATCTGTACGTGAAGTTTTTTCTTTTTTATAGGATAGGGTGGCAAACTAGCACACAGCCCACCTGATGGTAGTTGCTGCGGCCCATAGACATCTACATCTATCCTCGATTAAAAATCAAAATGCAGATGCGTTGTCAATCGTTAGGACTAACATGGAATGCCTCGTTTCCAGTAAAATGGGTCTCCGGTTCTCTACACTCATCATACGAAACACAGCAGCATTAAGCTACTATTTTACGCTGGTATTCTGTGAGAGCGTGATAATTTCCCGGTTGAGCCGCCCCATTCGTGCTACAACTATACTACTAATATAACTGCAGCGTAACTCTACCACGTATTAAAGTTGTATAATAATCATCTTAATTGCACGCAAATTACCCCGTCAGCTCAATAGAAGGCAGTTATTTCTATATTACGGAAAAACGCTTTTTTATTTGTATATATATATATATATACAAATATATATATATATATATATATATTATATATATATATATATATAAAGTGGCGAAAAGTGGATTGCGGAATCCCGTCTGGCTACGCTGAATGTATGTGGAGGAATGAATGATAAGGTGGATGAAGTATGCGAAATGACAGAGGAATAGATGTGTTATGCGTGAATGAGACGAAACGAAAGGGAAAGGATGCAACTGCACATGGCACGTATACCGCGTATTGGTCTGGTGTAGACGAGACCGAACGGGCATGCCAGGGAGTCGGTTTCATCCTTTCAGAAAGAATGGGTCAATGTGTGAAAGAGTATGAATGTTTAAGCCCGAGGCTGCTATGGATACGAATGAAAGTGGGCTTAAAGAAGCTGTTCCTGCTAGGGGTGTACTCCCCAGACATGTCTAAGCCCACTTACATCCGAGAGCAGTTTTGGGACATGGTAAGGATGGTGTTGACAAAATGTAAGGAAAATGAAAATATTATTATGTTAGTAGACTTTAATGGAAGGGTTGGGGGAAGAGGTCTTTTGTGACGAATACTTTTTTCGTCATAAGAAGATTCACATGTATACATGGGAAAGAGGTGATGATAGAAGCATGATAGATTTCGTAATTGTGGATGAAAGAATGAGGAGCGCAGTCGTAGATACAAGGGTTTACCGGGGGTCCAACGTAGGGACGGATCATTAATTGGTCTTATGTCGAATTAATGGTCTTTGTAATCGTTGGCGGCATCGGACATCTGTGTCTACCACTGCGTTACAGCGTATAAGAATAGAGAAGTTACAAGATGAAGATGTGAAAGAGAAGTATAAATGTAGACTGAGAGAAAATATTAGATGTTTGAATGAGTTGTGTATGAATGATTTAGACTTGAATACTGTGTGGAATAATATTAAGAAAGGTTTGGTGGCTGCCGCCACCGAAGTATGTGGTGTAAGTAAGAGAACAAATGAAAGGAAAAGTAATACGTTGTGGTGGGATGATGAGGTATGGGTGGAAGTTGAATCAAAGAAGAAAGCATGGTTAGATTTACTAGCAACCAAAGCTGGTAATTCTTCTGGTATGAATGATGAGATTGAAAGAAAAAAGGCAGAATTTAGACGTCTAAATAAGAGAGTAAAAGAAGTTGTTGAAAGGAAAAAGAAAGAAGAAACGGATAAGAATGATAGAAGGATATCTGATAATTTCCAGGCTAACATAAAAATGTTCTGGAAACTCGTAAGAACTGCCAGGGGAATTACAAAACAGCCTATAATTAATGCTATAAGAGACGAGTAATGGATGTATTCTGAATGATGAACTTTCGAATTTAAACTGATGGAAGGAATACTTTGAAATCATGTTTATGAGTGAAGAGTCGTCTGAATTAAATGAACTATAAATTGCGAAAGAAGTGAAAAGGGGTATGGAGCGTGAAATAGTAGCGTAATGCTGCTGTATTTCGTATGGTGAGTGTAGAGAACCGGAGACCCTTTTTACTGGAAATGAGGCATTCCATCTCAGTCCTCACGGGTGACAACGCATCTGCATTTTGATTTGTAATGGAAGATAGATGTAGATGTCTATGGGCCGCAGCAACCACTTACCATCAGGTGGACTGTGTGCTCGTTTGTCACCCTATTCTATAAAAAAAAAAAAAAGATAATTGTAGATGAAATAATGAAAGCTATGAAAAGCATGAAAGCAGGTAAGGCAGCTGGATATGATAGAGTATCACTCGAGATGCTAAGGGCTGGAGAGGGAGTGGTGGCAGGCCTGCTGTACACCTTGTTTAATTTATGTTGGGAATTAAAACGGGTACCGGATGACTGGTGTAAAGCAGTTATAGTACCAATATATAAAGGAAAAGGGTCACAGCAGGACTGCAAAAACTACCGTGGTATCAGCTTGCTTAATATTGTGGGTAAACTGTATGCTAAGGTGTTAATTGAAAGAGTTATGAAAGAAACTGATGGAAAAATTTGGGATGTGCAAGCGGGTTTTAGAAAGGGAATGTGGTGTACAGATCAAGTCTTTTCCGTGCGCATGATTGCGGAGAACTTTTTGGCCAAAAACCAGAAAGTTTTTTGTGCGTTCATAGACTTGGAAAAGGCTTATGAGAGAGTGGACAGGAATGTGTTATGGCAAACACTGAACTCATATAGGTTGAGCGCTGGTTTTATACAGGCATTAAGGTCTCTTTATAGGAACTCTAGTGCTTGTGTCAGGATCAATGGGGTCTACTCGGACTGGTTTGGCATCCAAAAAGGTGTCAGACAGGGCTGTGTAGCTTCCCCTTGGATGTTCAACCTATTTATGGATAGGTGTTTGCAAACTTTGAAAGATGAAGAATGTGGGTTAAGAATGGGCGAGTTAACCGTCAAATGCCTTCTGTATGCCGATGATCAAGTCATATTTGCGTCATCGGCGGCTGAGTTGCAAATGATGGTTACATTAATGAACGGGGAATTAAAAGAAAGGGGAATGAAAGTGAACGCAAGTAAGACGAAAGTGATGGTTTTTGAAAGAGAAGAAAGCAAAACGGTATGTGAAATAAGAATAGAAGGAGAGTTAATTGAGCAAGTGGATGAGTTTGTGTATTTGGGATATGTATTTAGCAGGGATGGTAGATATGATAGGGATATAGAACGACGAGTAAATGCAGGGAATAGAGTGAATGGGGCACTACGCTCTATTATGAAGAACCAGAATGTGTCAAAAAAGGCACGTATGGTAATAAATAATGCTGTGTTAGTCCCTGCTTTAATGTATGGTAGTGAAAGCTGGGTGTGGCAGAAGAAGCACGAAAGTAGAATAAATGCTGTAGAAATGCGGTCTTTAAGGAGTATGCTAGGGTTGAATTTGAATAACAGGGTGAGAAATTGCGTGATAAGAGATAAATGTGGTATGCAAGATGATGTTGTGACCAGGATTAAGAAAGTAATGCTTCGGTGGTTTGGTCATGTAGAAAGAATGAATGAGGAAAGAGTGACAAAGCAAATTTATATGGCAGATGTGAACGGCTGAGTCGGGAAGGGACGCCCTAGAAAAAAGTTTATCGACCAAATTGGCGATATTTTGAAAACGGGCCACGTTAGAAGTACCCTTAACCGACGAGCATGTATGCGTAGATATATGGATGTAAAGGAGGCGAAAGAGGTATGTCAGGATCGTGCCAAATGGAAGTCCGTAGTCTCTGCCTACCCCTCTGGGTGACAGGCGTGAGTGTTTATGTTTTATGTTTATATATATATATATATATATATATATATATATATATATATTACATTGCAAATCACCACTATAGAATCCAGTACAGCTTCCATGTAACTTCCTATCCTAATATTATTTTAACTTTCTAATAACAATACCAATCTTCTTTTAACAAGAGAATCATAACCATGTTTACAGATTAATTACATTAATTTTAATTAACCGTTCTGAAGTAAATTTTGACAACAACAAACTGAATAAATATGAATTTTAGTATACATCACATTTGCATTATATCAAATCGTAAACATAAGTAAAAAATTATTAATTAAGTTATAATTTCGTTTAGCCACCATGCAAAACATCCCCCCCCCCTCTCTTCCTCCCTATGAGTCAAGAGTCAGTCTGTGGGGAGGCTTATGTTCAGCAGTGAACTTTTAATAGGCTGTAATGAATGCACAAAATACAAATAAACATTAGATTTTGCAGTTTGATTCATTTGACAATTTTTTCAACGATTAAAACTCTATAACAATTAACAAAACAATACAACAATCTTAAAATGTTCGAATACGTGAAATTTTTATAATTAATAACAGGCTTACAATTTAATTTAATATATTTTACAAACGCTTAGTTATATTTTAAAACGATTGTGTTTTTAAATAATCTAGCGAAACAAAACGTAATGAAGTAGTAAAAAGTTTGTCTAAACATTATTAATGGTTATTACAAATCGGCTACAAAATCATTCTTGTACGTCAATTTTCCAATTACAACGTCCTTTCATATATGTCGATGAGCTTCAGTAATGACTGCGCGAAAAATTATCCGTGAAACGTGTCAAAGCGTATTAATGATCGCGTGTGAGACACGTTGGGTGTGGAAACGATACGGGGGAAATGGGGTGGGTCGGCACTTGGCGACTGTAATGGCGGCAACAGTCATTGCACCTTGAGCCGTTTGTGGGACAACATGCAACTGTTGTAACCGAAAACATGCAGCGTACGAGTTCGAGCGCGTCGGAGAGTTCCTTTTGGACTACGATAGAACTGCTAGCGGACCGTGGCCGGAGACGGTCAGCCGGAGACTTTGATGACAGCATTACACCGATCGAGATACCACCGAGGAACGCGTCCGCCCTGAGGTCACTCTTTATACTACGCTTGCACCAAAAAATTTAAACGTTCACCTTTAGTTACAATTTTTTAAGACGATACATACAAATAATTGCACTCATAAATCTTATATGTTATACATATAAGATTTATGTACGTAGTAGTTTTTTTTTAGTAATAAATAATGTTACTATTATAGCAGCTTATATTTTACCTTCAATCTGTGGAACGTACAATAAGTTTAGGGTAAAGGCATTATTTTTTACGGATATAACTAAAAGGGTCGTAAATCAACGAAGAATTTCGGTCAGATATCTGACAAGTTTACGCTATCGAGACATTCTTTGTTACGGTTCAAAGTGCTTTGAAGATTTTGATAGCAAACGTATACACATTTTACGTCATTCGTATCCACTTTTAATGCAATCTTCTGAAGATAAATGTCTTAATGTTCACACTTTTCGTGGTCATCAAGAAGACCACGAAAAGTGCGATCACTACCATAAATATTTGGTATATTTATGTTAGTTAGTTATCACAAGTAGGTATTACATATTACTTTTGATAATGAATAGATACAGCTCACATAATTATAATGAGGGATAGTAATCTTCCTTTCGAGGTGAAGATTTTTTGTTACACAATGTCATTTTATTGAGAAGTAAGTTTTAAATATAAGTTTATTAGTTTCTAGAGTATTAAATTAATACACAAAACAATGCGTCAGTGGTTTGCTGATTTATTTTTTGCACATTTTTAACTCTTTTTAATTTTTTTACTATTATGATAACCTATTTGTGTTTCAGTTTATTAATTTTTAATCTAATTTAAATAAAACATAACTAATAGTACACAATAAAAAATTACCTTTACATTTTTCGAAGAAATTAACTTCGCCGCTATGAAATCTGTTAAATATTACATACACCTCATTTTTTAAATGGCGACGCCCTGGTGGCGGAAAAGATCATTAATAAAAAAAAAACATTTGTACTTGGTAGAGCCACACTGCAGCTATATTATGGTTGTAGCACAAATGGGTCGGCTCGACCGGGGAAGGACCACGCTCTTACAGAATAGCAGCTTAATACTGCTGCGTTTCGTATGGTGAGTGTAGTATCCGGAAACCCTTTTTTACTGGAAACGAGGCATTCCATCTTAGTCCTCAGGGGTGACAACGCATCTGCGTTTTGTTTCTTAATCGAGGATAAATGTGGATGTCTATGTGTCACGGCATCCACTTATCACCAGGTGGACTGTGTGCTCGTTTGTCATTTTTATTCTATAAAAAAATCAAATTGGTATATATAGGCCTCAGAAATCCCATCTTATTTCAATATACATGTAACGTTCCGGATCTATGAAAATAGACCTACGTTATTTTTATTACCATTCGATGGAATGAACGTCAAAGTTTATATGGATTACTCCTTCAGGAAGTTTCGCCAATTTAATGTTTCTTTGAATTATTTCGAACGTATGTACAATTTGTACATCAGAACATACTTGCACATTTCAAAGTAAAAGTATAAAAGTCTATGAATACTCTTGATCAAATTTGGAGTGAATTAATAACGATTTATTAATGTTTATTTATTTATTTATTCCTTGGCTCTTCTAATGGACGAACTTAGTGTCTTGTGACATTTTCTGCCAGTCAAGCCCTGTGGAATAGAAAGAGTGAGAGCATAAGAAAAATGTGATAGGTTTTTACGTTTCTATAACCGATTTCTGAGTAATTGTGAGTTAAATTTATCGAAAATAATACTTAGGGTCAATATGGTGAGTTTGCGCAAACCTCCCAAGTAACTGGATGTTGGCACATTTTTTGTCCTATGTTCAAAAACAAAATAAAATAAGCTGTTACTTTAATACCATGTGTGATTTTATTTAGGCTCAATCTCAAAGTAAAAATAATTACCACCTATTTTGAAATTCATTTATAAACATATGACATAGTGATGACCACTTTAAGGACGTTTGAAATAAGAACGGTCTTATAATAGACGTTCTGGCAACTCTTCCGTTCCTATTAAAAAAAGAAAACTATTTTTATCGTCACTGCTTACTACAATGAAGACATTATTCAAGACAAAATTGAATGTAAAGCTGGCCGAAAATATTGTTAATACGGTAAAGTAGAGCGCAAAGTATTCACGAACCCGTTAAACCCGTGACGCAAGCTTTACGGCTTTAAATATATCACAGATTCCCGTTTTACAGCCGACAGTTTAACGGTATTCTGAACTGTTTAAACCTATTTATTCATAAAAATCATTTAAATTACTTTTTGTCCTAAATCTATCTGTAATCTCTCTAACTTAACTTTGAATTCATGTAACTACCAAAAAGTATAATTTAACAAAGGGTAGGAAAAGGAAGTAGGAAGATACGTTGGTTTATTATGTTTTGGACATATACAACGTAAGTTAAAAATGTATCAGTAACTTTTTTGTAGTTTCGCGAGAAAATAATAGCATACCTACTAAACCGTCCGGTGATCGAAAGGAATTATATTTTTTTCACTTCTGTCACTCTCTTGCAGTTCGCAGTCCATATGTACTTATGTATAACGGCCTATAAAAATATCGAATCTATTTATTGATTGTGATTCAGTCGGACGTTCATTGCCGAGATTTCTCGGGAGCATTCTTCAGTATGGCGAATTTAGGGCATATTTACATTACACGACCGCAAGCATTAGCGTCAAACAAGTGACGTAGCGCGAAGAACGTGTCGTCACGTGTAATTTGGGCTGTGAGTAAACATTCCTGGAAAATGACGCGCCCGTAGATTCATAATGACGACCTCTATCATTTGTTGTATGTAATTTGTTTCTCAAAACTAATTAAAGCATTTACATTATTTTCAATATAAAACGATTCTGGATTACTCGCGTTTATGTTAGGACCATAGTATATAAAATTATTGAAGCTCCAACTTCAGATTGTACTCTGTGGAAATTATTTCATTCTTTTCTGCTTCGAGCTTCGAAGTATAATTTAGTTTTTTTTTTTTTTTATTAAAAGTGTAATATTTTTGAAAATCGTAAGATTGGATAGGGTTGCCACCCGCACTTTTTGTTAATTGTACGTTTTTTCAGGCAAACGTTATGAGACCAATAACGTACGTAAAAATACTTTATTTTACCTATTTTCAAGATTTTATTTTAATGTTTACTCATGAAGGAATTAATATACAGACAATATTTTTCTATATACCTAGTGAGTCACGTGCGCTATTGATGTATGTTATTGTTTTTGAGAATTTAAATATGACACATGTTTTACGTGATACAGTTGAAAGTATATTGTCAGAGATACAAGAAAACGTACAATTCACACGCGGTGCGGGAAGTGCTGCGCGTAAGGTGAATTTTACACGCCCTAGGGATCGTGTTCAATTTTACACTGCCGTGGGACCATGTTCTTGTTTACGCTATTTTGATCACATTACAACTCCCCCGGAAAGTATAGGGTCCACACCCCCATTTCATAAAAGAAAAAAGCGTTTACATTATTTTGATCACATTACAACTCCCCCGGAAAGTATAGGTGGGGTACAGTGTGACGGTTGTGGCAGTCAACAAAGGTTGGGTGGTGTTGTATGAGTGTTCAGCCTTTGCTATTTCTGTATTTGCTGAAGCTGTTCCGTTCGCATTTTGAGCGATGACGACTTCATCTGGAATCACTTTTACTCATTTTGGTATTTCCCCATAGAATGCATTAGACCTCTATGCTAGCTGGCAGGGTCGCCATGAGGTATGTTATTGTTTTTGGGAGTTTCGATAAAAGACAAGTTTTACGTGAGACAATCGAAAGAATATTGTCAGGGAAACAGGAAAACATATAGTTTATACGAGGTGCGGAGAGTGCTGCGTAAGGTGAATTTTACACGCCTGTGGGACCATGTTCATTTTTACATCCCGTGGGATTCGTGGGATTCATTCCTGCCACTTCGGCGTTATTTGCAGAGTTTATTCATTGATGATTGGTAGGTGATGACATGAAAGTAACAGAGTATAATTTTAACTTATAGAATGTAAAGATATTGTGTGGATAAAATATAATATCTTTTAAATTATACATTATTTTCACTGGTCGCATTTTATTTTTTAGCCTAGAAAAGTATTACTATATAAAATACTATAAATATTAAACTCGGGTGTCATCTTAATAATTACAATATAAACTTCAACTATTTCCATTAATAACAATAATCACCCTGAACTATGATTTATTTAATTTAAAAAAAAAACAGTCATTAGTATCGGTTCACAATTGACGCATAACGTAGGTTATTCTTGTGATTATATACACATTAAAAACTGAACTTCAGTCGAATTGAGAACCTCCTCTTTTTTGTGGTCGGCTAATTAAAATAAATTTTAATTAAAATTATTTTTGTCTGCTTAATATTGTCATACATAACTAAAATAATTTCATAGATTAACTGAAACTGTTATTAAAAACAATCTATTTTAAATCTTTGAATTTTACGCACATTATACTCGTATGTACAATGTACTTATTGTCGTTGCCTAAAAAATATTATCTGACATACACTACATCTTAAACAATAAAAACTTCATTAAAAATTTCAACAAATCCTAACATATAAACGTCCAAAATTGCACGATAACATTGAACGTAAACATTAACCTTGAAAAAAGCAGTTTCGCGAGAATTATGATAAGTATGTATTAAAACAATATAAATAATTTCATCATTTGTTATGAAATGTGTTTACTTTTTTGCATCAAAAGTTCGATAGCAACTTTTTATCGTTATTATTACCGCTTTTTCCAATTGTATCTAATGACTAGGGTTGTCACTCATACTATAATATATATTATCGTACTATATTTCAGTCAATTGTACTATATATTATAGAAAAATAATATAATACGAAAAACACTACATTTTTATCCCTAATTCAACTGTAGCGCTATTTTATTTTAACCGTGATCCTAAATTTGGAACAACTAAGTTTTACGGAAAGAAAATTTTTCGTCATGAATGTAAAATTG